GGAATTTACATGAAGGTATTAAATGTCCTAGAGAACCTTAGGCTTTTTTAAAAAACAATTTTTTTAATGTTTTTATTATTTTTGAGAGACAGAGTATAAGCGGGGGAGGGGCAGAAAGAGAGGGAGACACAGAATCCAAAGCAGACTCAGGCTCTGAGCTGTCAGCACAGAGCCCCTTGCAGGGCTCAAACTCATGAACAGTGAGGTCATGACTTGAGCAGAAGTCAGAAGCTTAATTGACTGAGACACCCAGGTGCCCCAAAATAAGCTTTTAGGAATGAGTCTCAAAGTCCTATCAGAGAAGTCAGCTGTTAAGTGAGTTCCTTTCCCCACTTTGATCAAGAAATTGCTTTTCATGGGGCACCTGGCTGGTTCGGTCAGTGGAGCATGTGACTCTTGATCTCAGAGTTGTGAGTTTGAGCTCCATATTAGGAGTAAAGCTTACTTTAAAAGAAAAAAAAAAAAGAAGAAGAAAGAAAGAAAGAAAAAGAAATTGCTTCTGATTGAACAAGGAAAATGCCTTGACAGCTATGAGCTTCAGAACCCTACCACTTCTGTTGTAATATCATAGGTAAAATGCCCACTTTCATTACTCTTTTAATTTATTTCTGAATTTAAATGTTGTATAATTAATTTAAATCATATTCAGAACCCTATATGCAAGTGTTTCTAGGAAATGTAGTTCTAACTCACCCTCTGCAGGACGGAGAAACATAGTACAAGGTTGGAAAGATGTTACTTAAGTAAATCCATAATACTTGCCTCAGGGAGTGTAATTGCTCCCTAAGACTTTAAGTTAATCCTCTTCAGGCATCTTATCTCTGCTTTATGAGTACCTGAATCCTTTAATTTGTTCTCTTTTCCAGTGCTTTGTGGCCAAATTACTTTGTTACCTGACTTTTACATCTTAGTAGTACTTTAACTTCTTAGCCCTGCTATTAGTTATCAGTTCCCTATATGCCTTTCATTTCCATTCTTTTGTTGAAATCTCTTGTTTACCTTCTTTATACTCGTTTTTTTTTTTCCTTGTGGGTTTGACCTTTAATTCTTTTACGGTCATTTTCATAGATTTTTAGGGAGAAGGGAGAAATAAACATATATATTCAATCCACTGTGTTTAACCACAAGTTTTACTTTCATCCTCTGGTCATTTTGACTCCCTATCCAGTCATTTATATATTCACCCTTTCATCTTAATTATTCTGTTCATGTTACTGATTTCTGCATTATATAAGCACACTTTTAAAATCCATCAAAGCAACTTAGGCCTATCAGTGTCAGTTTTCTCTCCATAATATTTTCTATCGGAGTTAACCCCTTAAAACTTAAAAACTAGGGACATTTGTACTTTGGATTTCTTTCATATTGGGAGACTAGAGTCAATATCAAAGACCAACTCTGTAGTAGCAAATTTCTGAAATGTTATTAATAGTATAAAGCAGAAAAATTCAAAAGTAATAATTTTTGGTCCTCCATTTTAGAAGTTTGGGAAGTTGATGAACAACAGATCAAGAAGCAACAGGAAGCACTTGTGAGGAAAGTCACATCCATCTCCAAGAAAACTCTGATTAAGGAAAATGTCATTGAATGTAAAAAAGTTACAAAAATATTTCCTTTGAACTCAGATATTATTACTTCAAGACCAAACTTCTATGAATGTGACTCATTTGATAAAGATTTGGAACATAATTTAGACTTACTTAGTTATGATAAGGACTGTATAAGAGAGGAAAATTATGAATATAATAAATGCAGGAAGCCATTTTACCCTTGCTCATCCCATGTTCTAACCCCCTTTAAGTGTAATCAGTGTGGACAAGATTTCAGTCATAGATTTGACCTCATCAGACATGAGAGAATTCATGCTGGAGAGAAACCCTACGAGTGTAAGGAATGTGGAAAAGCCTTCAGCAGGAAGGAAAATCTTATTACACATCAAAAAATTCATACTGGGGAGAAACCATATAAATGTAATGAATGTGGAAAAGCTTTCATTCAGATGTCAAACCTTATTAGACACCAGAGAATTCATACAGGGGAGAAACCTTATGCATGTAAGGATTGTTGGAAGGCCTTCAGTCAGAAATCAAATCTCATTGAACACGAGAGAATTCATACTGGAGAAAAGCCCTATGAATGTAAAGAATGCGGAAAATCCTTCAGCCAGAAGCAAAATCTTATTGAACACGAGAAAATTCATACTGGGGAGAAACCTTATGCATGTAATGAATGTGGTAGAGCCTTTTCTCGAATGTCATCCGTTACTCTACACATGAGAAGTCACACAGGGGAAAAACCCTATAAATGTAATAAATGTGGAAAAGCCTTCTCTCAATGTTCAGTGTTTATTATACATATGAGAAGTCATACAGGTGAGAAACCCTATGTATGTAGTGAATGTGGGAAAGCATTCTCTCAAAGTTCATCCCTTACTGTACATATGAGAAATCATACAGCTGAGAAACCCTATGAATGTAACGAGTGTGGAAAAGCCTTCAGCAGGAAAGAAAATCTCATTACACATCAGAAAATTCACACTGGAGAGAAACCGTATGAATGTAATGAATGTGGGAAAGCTTTTATTCAGATGTCAAACCTCATTAGACACCAGAGAATTCATACTGGTGAGAAACCTTATGCATGTGCAGTATGTGGGAAAGCCTTTAGTCAGAAATCAAATCTCACTGAACATGAGAAAATTCATACTGGAGAAAAACCTTATCATTGTAATCAATGTGGAAAAGCTTTCAGTCAGAGACAAAATCTCCTCGAACATGAAAAAATTCACACTGGAGAGAAACCATTTAAATGTAATGAATGTGGTAAAGCCTTCTCTCGAATCTCATCCCTTACTCTTCATGTGAGAAGTCATACAGGAGAGAAACCTTATGAATGTAATAAATGTGGAAAAGCCTTCTCTCAATGCTCATTACTTATTATACATATGAGAAGTCATACTGGTGAGAAACCCTTTGAATGTAATGAATGTGGGAAAGCATTCTCTCAAAGAGCATCCCTTTCTATACATAAGAGAGGTCATACAGGTGAGAAACGCCGAGTGTACTAAATGAGGGAAGGCCTTTTCTTAAATTCAACTCATGCTTTACTTAACTTTTGAAATACATTGGTGTAAACTCAAAACAACCAAGATCTTTATGGAAAAACTATAAAACTTTATTGGAGGGCATAAGACTTGAATAAATAGAACTACCATGTATAGAGATGGAAAAACTCAATATCATAAAAATGTCAGTTCTCCAAAATGAATCTATTGACCTAATATAGTACCAAACATCTAACAAGAATTTTCTAGGATCTTTACAAAATGATTCTAAAATTCATGTGAAATGGAAGTCCCTGGATTGCTGAGATGATTTTGAATAAGAACAGCAAGGACCCATCTTCTACCATATATTACACAAAAGTTATGGTCATTAAATAGTGTGTGGTATCAGAGCATGAATACATAAGCAGATTTTACAGAATAGAATGCCTAGGAATAAGTCAATGAATATATGCAAACCTGGTGTATATTATACATAACAATGACATCATGAATCAATAGAGAAATGACAGCCAATAAAATTTGTTGGAGTATTTGGTTCTCCATATTGGGGAAAATAAAACTACATTCAATCTTACGATATATAAAGAAAACAGAATTCCAAAGGATTTGAACACTGGAATGTGAAAAGCTAAACTGAAATTCTTGGGAGGAAATACAGAATGTTGTCTATGGTTTTAAGGCAGCGAATCATTTTTTTAAAAGGCAAAAGGACCCTGCAGTTCCATTTCTGTATATTCATCATAAAGAAACAAATATGCGTAAATATATATATATATACATACATATATATATATATATACACTAAATTATGGATGAGGTGATGGATAAATAAAATGTGATATAGTCAAATAATGGAATAGTATACAGCAGTTAAAAGCAATAGACTAGATCTGTATTTTGTAACATGGATAGTTATGTAAAACAATGTTGAGTGGAAAAAAAATCAAAATCCTCAAATGAAACATTGTGTAATGACATTCATATAAATTGGAATTAAATCATAAAGAACAGAACTATGTTTTTATTATTATTGAAATATGTATGTATGTAAAATGGACTAGAAGGGTACATACCAAATTATTATTAGTATTTTCTCTGGCAGGGTATTGATCAAAGGGGACTTTTAGCTTTATTTGTAATTTTTACGCCTTAATAAAGATCGAGAGCATATAAATCTTAAAAATTAATGATTTGCAGTGGCAATATGGATGGTTTGTCTTAATGGTGTTTTTGTAGTTATTTCTCAGACCTTATGGCTTGGGGGAAGCCTGTGCCCATAGAAAAAAATGTTAGGATGGATCCATATGCCCTATCAGACACTGAGCTATTTTATCAAAAATATTTCCAGAAAATTAGTAATTGGAAGTGATAGTCCTATTTACTATACAATATGAAATTAGCATACTTTATCAATCTTATGTTTTTTTTTACATTTCTAAAGTTGTGATTCATTTTTTTACCAATTATGTTTTAGATTTAATTATTAAAATTTTGAAAATCAGATGGGAGTATGATAAATCAAGTATGATTTTATTTACTATTTTAGGGCACTATGGTCTACTAATGATTCCTTCTCTCAATATATCTTGCATTATTTGGCAACAGGTTTGTTGGATTCATAGCTAACTAATTAGTAATATATTTAGAGTCAATATGGAGAAAATAACATTTTCCTGAGAATTGACTCTGACCAGTTTTCTTGCCCTGTAGGTTTCCATAAAACCAGGACAAACATTAATATCATAGGTAATCATTACAACATTTTGGAATGAGAAAGCCTTTTATTTTCTTGAGATGGCCATAAACAATTATGTAACATTGCTTCACTCTTAACCTACAGATTATTTTATTCCTTTCATAACCCTTGATTTATATGACCTATCTTAATTTTGGTTGGAAATGGTAGCGGTCTAGACCCTGAACAGTAAAAACATAGTTCCTATAAAAGGATTTCATTCTCTATAATCTATAATAATATATGAACCACCCCTTAAGGTAAATGTTTTGTTATGCCATCTCACAATATAACTAATGCACAGAAAATCATTGGTGCCTTTTTAAAAGGGAGATTAGAATAGGAGCTATTAAAAGTGAACTTTAGCATTGAATGCTTGAATATTAACTATATTTGTTCGAGGGTGATTTCACAAAAGAAAACCTCAAACTAAAGTAGTGATAAACAAACATGACCGTATCACTTTTGACTTTTATTAGCTACTTTTAAAGATTGACACTGACTTACATTTGTAAATTGCAGGGACCAATTTTCAACAATTTACCAAAATTTAAGTATCTAAAGGAGTATTGTCATTTCAGAGTCTCTTCTTCATTCCTTTTTTTTTTTTTTTTTAAATTAAGTGTTTTATTTTTTGAGACAGGGCACAAAAGCAGGGAGGGGGGCAGAGGAGAGGGGAGACACAAAGTCAAAGGAAGCAGCTCCAGGCTCTGAGCTGTCAGCACAGAGGCGGGGCTTGAACACACAAACCATGAGATCATGACCTGAGCTGAAGTTAAACGTTTAACTGACTGAGCCACCCAGGCACTCCCATAGTCTCTTCTTTAGTAGGTTTTATGCTAAGTCCAGTTTTGCCAGCATACCTAATTTTTGTAGACTTGTTTTTTAAAAAATAGTTTTCAAAGTTCATGTGTTATCTACATAACAAAACCTGTGTTTGATGAGTATGTGCAGAAATTAGAACCCTTGTGCATTTTTAACAGGAATGTAAAATGGTAGAGCTGCTGAGGAAAACAGTTTAGCAGTTCCTCAAAAAATTACCATATGATTCTGCATTTCTCTACCTAAGTATATATTCAGAAGTATTGAAAGCAGGGGTTCAAACTGATCCTTGTACACTAGTGTTCATAGTGGCATATTCAGAATAGCCAAAAAATGGAAACAATCTAAGTGTCCAGCAATAGATGAACAGATAAACAAAATGTGGGATATACAAAAAGTGGAATATTATGCAGCCATGCAAAAGAAATTTGGATACATACTACGACGTAACTGAACCTTGGAAAAGTATGATTCCCATCTACATAAGGTAACTAGAATAGGTAAATTCATACAGGAAGTATGATAGAGATTACTGGAATAAAGGAGGAAGAAATGGAGAATTATTGTTTAATGGGTACATTGGTTCTGTTTCAGATGAGAAAATTCTGGAAATAGTGATGATTATAAAACACTATGAATATACTTAATGCCACTTAATTGTACAGGTAAAATTGTTAAAATGTTAAGTTTTATGTTATTAATGTTTTAACACATATGCACATGCACAAGTTTAGAAATACCCAATTTTTTAATGCCAACATCTGAACTATTTGAGTCATTCTCTATTGATAACTTTTTCTCTTGATTCTTTCTTACCTTTCCTATATTTTTGCTTATCTACTAATTTTGATTGTATACTGAACCTTGTGAATATGTTGTAGAGATTATGAATTTTGTTATAATTTTCTGGAGAATGTTGTCTTTGTCCTAAAAACAGCTACATTGGCTGGATTTAAAATCCAGCAATAGCTGAAATATCTGCTTCATTCTTTACATCTTCTAGCTATTGATTTCTATAGGCTCTTTGGAGTTTACATAAATTTGTGAAGTTCAGGCATCAGCCAAAGATTTGGACAGAATTTATAAGTAGATGTTGAATCTCCTCTCTGTAGCTCCTCCTTTCTGGAATTTAACTTTATTTTTAAAGAGTTTTTTAAAACAGCCTGAAACTTCATCCTCCAACTTCTCAGGACAATAATACTGTGGCTCTCTATTTGAGTTTAGCTACCCCATACCACAGAGGCTGGAAAGTTCCATTACATGATAACCTGTATAAAAATTAATGTCTCACAGTATACTTTTCTTTTTTTCAAAGGTCAACTTCCCTTCAATTTTTTTGCCTGTTTTTGGTTGTTCCCCAATGCTTTCACATTGTGTGTGTGTGTGTGTGTGTGTGTGTGTGTGTGTGTATAAAATATATATAGTCCAGAGTTGATTATCTTTTTTTTTTTTT